CAAATACGTTACAATATATATTCATAGAGAAAATTAAATACAGTATAGCGTCGTTTATCCGAATCAATTGGGGACTGGGGTTGTTCGGATAACTTATTTTTCGGATAACCGATTATGTACGAAAAAAATATATTAATCTATAACATGTTGAAAATTTTCTCCGTTGCGTGTCGCTTCTCGTTGAATTTTCGTCGATGTTAAGCCTAATGTAAACTTTTCAAAATAATAATCGTGGCTACTGTATCGTTAAAAATTATTTCTTTATTTTTTACAAACAAAATAAATATATTGAAAAATATAAAAACAAAAAAAATTATACTTTAGAAGTTAATCTAGTATCAAAAACGTTCGATTCAGCAGGACACACAGTCCTCNGATATTATATAAACTAAATCAATTCTACTGTGTGTTGCATACACATAACACTAAAGGAAATCGGTATATTATTATGACAATAAACTAAATTGTTAGCAACATTCAAAGTAATGTTTAATTTTGAACTTCACCAATTTTTATTATATTAGTACCAAGAAAGAAAACCTGATATTTCAGAATTTAGCCATAATTAATTAATTAATTAATAATGCCAAGTTATCAATTCCTCTAAAGGTGTTAAACACACAACTGAAGTTTGTAATGGGTTTAAGGCTTTCTAGAAAACCTTTTAAAAAATAAAACGCCGTAAAATTACCATAAACTGTCAAACTTAAGATCACATCTACTAAACTAATTATGCCCGTGTTGTTGTTACAATCGAATGCTTGAGTATTCAATCGATCTAGGTAATTCGCAAAACAGACACGCAGTTTGTTAAAACAATTAACGAAAGGTGCCTGTGTACTATTAACTTGTACCGTACTATTAAATCGGTGTAAGCCGTACACCGAAGAAAACTATAAATAGTAGTTTGATTGTCTTTTTTTACATAACTCTTCGACGATATTTTCTGAGCTCCATATAGTGTTATTGCTATAGGAATTCAGACATTGATAAATATTCACGTTTACCTATGAAGATCGAAATTAATATATTGTATAAGAATTTATGAACGAATGTTAATTATGATAAAATGAAATGTATTAATAAATATTAAATGTACAGTAAAACCTGTCCAAAACGGAATCTGCCTAAAGGGAAAGAATTCTTCGAAACGGAGAGAATTTTCTCATGTTAAAAAATGAAACCTGACGAACCAGAAAAAATATTCGGTACCGTGAGATTCCGGTTTACGCGGGTTTTATTGTATTTATAAATGTAATTAAGTTATCACTCCCCTAATGGTTAATTTTTTCCCAATAGATAGCTCTACGTTTAAATCAGCAAATCGAATGTTAATAGAAATTAATCGATTTATAAAAATTCGGTAGACACTTTGAGGTAAGATGTACGACATTATCTAAGACGGAAGTGTGTGAACGTAACTACCCAGTTACATAGCAATTGATCGAACAGCCTAGGAATGTATAGCGAACAAACAAACAAACATCCTCATTTATATATGTAGATACAATAGATTTATCATGTTTAACATCTCTTCAAAACACTAAAGTAAGTGTTAATCTCCAATTATTAAGTTTTAAACAATTATAACATGTATTAGTTTTTAAGGCATGTTTACACTTACTTGTACAACAGTAAGTGTGTACCCGCTTGAAGAACGAATAACTATTATAATTCGCAAATTTAACATTTTACATTTTACTTAAAGCCTGATACACAGGTATACCTGTGTGAACCGCCGGGGAGGATGTAGGTCTCCCGATCCGGCAACAGGTCGTTAAACCCTTCTCACTGGTCAGGATGGATTAAATTTTTACCGTTCCCGCAGTAACGGGATTAAATGTTTCGGGTCGAGTGGCGGAGGGAGGAGTGCGTCGGTAAGATGACCGGCGATATACGAGTAAAGATGACACCACTTTAACAGGATAACAACGATTTATTAGCTACATAGAGATTNTCTCTTCAAAACACTGAAGTAAGTGTTAATCTCCAATTATTAAGTTTTAAATAATTATTACAGTTATTATATCTAAAATATAGTGTAAATTACTAAATTTTCATATCATAATTTATTGTCCAGCTCTTTTCTACTAAAGAATTTTAATGAGAATGTGACGGTTTAAAACCCTTTTGTGTTAGAACTGTATCGCCTTTCTAATAAACTTCGTGATTAGGTAAAAAGGGAAAAGGGGGGACTTCTGCGGTCAATGACCGAGACGATCTCCTCGAAAAAAATCATTAGTATATCAATAAAAGAAATCTCCTCCATTTGTTTAAAGGTAATTCTATAGACGTTAATATTAACAAGACGGGAATAAGAGATGTTTTTTACCCCCTCTTTGGTTGCACGTGACACGTGGTTACGGCAATAAATCGCCTCCTTCGTAGTCAAACGCGACGTTTGATATAAACAATATCTAGAAATTATTGTCAGATGAATGTTAATTTATGGATGAGAGCCGTCAAACCTATAGAAATTTATATTATAAAATCATATCTTCTAGACACCAATAGCAATAAATTAAACAAACTTCTCTGTGTCAGTTGTCTGTGCTAGCTAGATCTAGACATCAACACACGAACAAGTGTGCGTATAAATCATTAATGATGTCATAATATATGACATCATTAATGAGGGAGGGTGCCCCTCAAAAATAGTATAAAGAGGGCTTGGACGCAGTCAACAAGGCGGACATTTACAAGGCGGACACCTCCAGGGCGGACATCGACTGCCACATCTACTGACCCATACCGTCACCCTATCTGTCGCTAACTCGCCATAACTGCCGTGACGATCCAGGAACGTTTTCACCAACGACCCATATTACAGATCGGGAAGTTAGAGGTATTTTTTTTGGATATCTATTTGTATACTCTCTCTCTGCGAAATCTCTCTCTGAGAAATCTCTCTTCTAGAGATCTTTCTCTCGTCTCTTAACTTAGAGAATAGAGATTAGATGTTTCATAAGTAAGACGAATCATTGTCGCGACGTAGAATAGAATTTTTGTACATCTTTACCTTAGCCTTTGATATGTACAATTTTATAGTTGTTTATTAAATGTGTTATTCTTGTTCAACCTGTGTATTCATTTGGGAACCTGTCAACTTACCCATTAACCTCCCCACACATTTTATTTTGCTCTCCTATAAAGCCATTCTCTGAAAGAGCCGCCGGTAAATGGGGACAAATAACCCCCTCGGTTCTCACAAGAATCTATTAAGGTAAAGCTCATAGACTCTAAGTTTAAATAGAGAAAATTAAAACAGTTATTTTCAATGCAGTGCAATATGGTTAACTCGAATTTGGCTCGGAAAAAACTCGGATGTTCGTATCTGTTGAATATCGAGTACCAATGTATAGTAGAAAGAAAAAGTATCCTCCAGATACTAAGGAACCGATGGTTATATTAAATATTAATATTGTGTCTTGTTGATAGGTGACGTGAAGAAAAATACATAAAAGTACAGTTAAACCTTCTAAGTGTTGACACCATAATGAAGCGTAACTAATACTTGTAAACTCTTCCCCATACATTTTAAATAGAGAATAGATGTATATGTTTTTAAAACAAGGTTTGATTGTATTTCAAGGAATTTCATCGGCCCATCAGTTGTTTGTAAATGAAAATAAGCTAAACTAGTTTTATTTCCCGAGTTAAAAGTATTTGATAAGTAACGAAATAAACTGATGTTGCGTTATTTATGTATTTTTCTACGTCACTTTTATTATAATATAAATTATATTACGTGATAGAAATACTGTATTCCGTATAACTTGACGTATTAGAAACACCACACTAAAAAGTATACAACAGTAGATAATTAGGGAATAATAGGAATTAAGCACATGTAACTTTTATTTCTAAATTTATTATTTGCTATTGTTACATAATTAATAGGAATTTTGAATGAAGTAAGCAAGAACAAACTGTTTATTTCTAGCATGTTTAAAATGTATTTATATAATAAATCATAATAAAAAAAAATTAGAAATTCGTTTTGACTGAATTAATTATTGTACATGATATTTTTTCATGAAGAAAATACAAACTTTCTCTTTTCGAAGCGAAACTATTCGTTGCCTGGGCGAAGCCTGAGCTTACCGGGCTAACATTTGCACATTTTTCCGATTTAAAAAATTCATACGTTATATTTTGATTATTTCGGTGTCAAAATGCTTAGTAGAACCCTGGCGTGTATATAAATTACGTTTTAGAAAACATAATTAACTCCGAGAAAAGATATATTCAAAAAATAAAACTGCCCACTTTTGTCTCTTTGACGCTTAATAACAGAAAAGTATTTTGATATTTTGGATGCTGTTTCTTGGAGTATAAAGCCAGACAGTTGCTTGATATTCTTCCAGAATCTGGTGAATTCCGGTCGAACTACGGAAAAGTTACCCGAGTTCTAAGAAAAAGGAATCGAATTTAGATCTCTCATCCACACTAGATGGCGCCACGTTACCTAGCTCTTCGTCTTCTCTTCTGTAACCGTATGCCCGGGCCTATACCGATTTGTCAACGTGTCAGCATTTATTTTTGATAAAATTGTTTTAATTAATATTTTCTGTAAGCGATTTAAATTTATAAAATCGGCATATGGAAAAGAAAGTAATGGTAACGAAAATGTTCTTCAACTCAAAGTAGCAGTGCCCAGGAAAAGTGTAATGCCCTGTAAATCATACTTTTTCTGGTAACAACGGAGTTATGCCGGTCATATATTTAACTCCATTCAGGGAAAATGTTTGTATTAAATTGTCCCAATAAAGAATTAATTCAAACCCGGTCTATCGAGAGTATCACAACCTAAATGTTCGATTAGATCTGGTAACAATTGGTCTAGGGCTTGAATGTAAAATAGGTAACCGAATGCGTGCACTTACAGGGTCATTGAATATACAAATTTTACTTGGATACTTCTAATTGACGTACTTCACGATTTTATAAGAAAAGAGCTAGAGAAAATTCACAGCTGTGAAACGTAGAAGCAAGGGTATTACAAGAGTGGTGCCTGTGTAACTTGCAAGAACAATTCTGCGTGCCTGTGATTCTAATTATTCTATAAGCAGAATTTTTATCATTCCAAATAAAATTTGATTTATATTCTAAATCAATTGTTATCTTGTTTCTTGTCTGTATTAATGGTAGCCCAAGGTTGAAGTTGTGCAGTAGCTCCTAATAAAAATATTACACCACCCAGAAAATAAGCGAAAGATGCCATATAGAATACGTAGTTCCATTGAATCGTGTCTCCTTCCTTATATGTAAAAATTTTTAAACAATTTAATTATAAGTTATAGATATATATATATAAACAGATTTTTAAGAAGTTATCACTTACATTTTTTTCTAATATAATACCAGCAATATAAGGTGCGAGTATAGCCGAGATACTACATAAACCATTAGTCAACCCGAAAAGGACACCTAAAACAATTTAAATAACGTAAATTAGAAAAATGTCATTTGTTACTCGAAAAGCTTGCTGTAATTTCCTGCAAAACTTCGATTCTAAGTCAGTAACAGTAATTATTCTGGTATTCTGTATTAAAATTTCGGTATTCTGTGTTTATAATTAGGAAAAGTAATGACCTACCTGCAAATTCTGGAGCTAAATCAAACACTACCACAATGTCTCCTGAATTAGTGAAGCCGTGACACGCCATTCCAATCATTAAACAAACGATTATTTTTGTATTCTCGCAGCCTAGAAATGAAATTACTAAAATGCACGTTGCCGAGCCAAATGTACCTTGAATATAAATAAGTGACATATTTAACCATTACCAGAAATTTTAGACGTTAATTTTAAACATTAACAAGCTGCGGTTCTTACCAATTGCTTCGAAAAGTTTTCTGTTATTAGTTATGCTTAAGTCTGTACGTGCTCTCACGAAATCCGCAATAAAACCGGAAATAATCATGGTTACAGATTCCGTGAAATAGATTAATGCATGTATTAGTCCAGTCTAAAATACGAGTAAACTGTGTTTATTAATTAATTTACATACAACACGCTGGATGAATAAAAATCTACATGCCTGTTGGATAGGAAAGTGAAGAATGTTCTGTAAATATGATGGAAATTTAGTCGATATTGTTGTATAAGCGAAAATGGTACAAATTTTCGTCAAAGTTACTATCCAGACTCCTCTTGACCTTAAAATTTTCTTCCAGGGTATATTCAATTTCTATTTAAATTGAAAATATATTTACGATAAATTGATCAAAATAAAATAGAGGAGAAAATGATATTACCGTCTCCCCCGAAGCGATGTTTGTTACGCTTTCGTTAACAAACGTCAATTCTTTTTCAGATATTCTGGGATGTTCTCGTGGTCTGTCATAAACTGTAAACGTAACACATACACAAAGGGCAATCCCACATATTCCTGTTAAATATACAGATTACAGAAGATATCATCGAATTAGAAAAGCATTCGTATTGTTTATATTCACCGAATGTGTAGAAGCTGAAAGGCCATTCTTTATGTTCACAAATATATCCCGTCGTAATTAAACCAACAAACGTTCCGACTTGTACACCGGAAAGAGAAATTGATGAAAATATGGACTTTTCGTTTTCTGGACTCCATCTTCCTAATAGTGTGAAAGCTCCGACAAATATAAGTCCCTGCGATAAAAATGTTTTGGATA